CATTATCTGTCCTAAACACATGTGTACGTGATGAAAAACGGCCAGCTCCAACCTCCCTGATCTTAGCAATGTGTATACGCTTGCCATGAAGAAGCAGTGGCTGTGACAGACGGCAGGTGAAAACATATAAGGATGAATAACACCCGATAAAAGCCAAGCTCCGTTTGAGAATCCATTAGCGAGGAGTGCAAGTGCTGAACCTACGTAAATAACAGCAAGAGTCAGCAGCCCGCTCTCCTGCACAGCCTTCCCATCGCGCCGTCCAATTTAGGGCACGGATTACAAATCACTCTATCGCTCCCACCTCCCTCCTTTAACTGTCCATTTATTTAAAAAACAATCACCAATACATTAGTACAAGACATCTTTTGAGGGGAGGATAATATTCGCTGCCAGATATTGGCATACAAAATTAGGTGGCTGATAAATGTATCTCATTTGAGCTTGGGATTTCTCTCTCTCTCTGCTATGAAACCCTTCCCCCTATAGTGATACTTCTCCTCTTAATTACTCAGATCAGAGCTCAAAGTGATGAATTAAGAAGATCAGTTTTAATTACTCCCCAAGAAAAAGGATCCCGAGTGACTTTCAAACACTGGGATGACTGAGGACGACTTACACTGGAGGCTGGAAAAAAAAGGCTCTGAAACTTCTCTTACAACCTTGCAAGAACCTGGAGATGCAAAAAATAGTACGGAACAGTACGGAGGGAAAATCGGTTCCAATTTTATTTTAATGTGAGAAAAATAATCATGGCATTTTTTTTTTGCTCCCTACAAAACACCACACTAACCCAGTACTTCTCAAATAGTCGGGCGGGCATCCCTGCGGGGGGATGACTGACTTTTTAAGTCAGACCAAAAAAGGAGAAAGATATTTTTTAAAAGTTTTTCTATTTGTATTTTTTTTTTCAGAAAGAACCAATGTCATAGTTTTGGTTGATTAAACTTTATATATATTATAATATTTTCTTAATTTTTTCACAACATGATGATCTCATCATAGTCATAGCCGGGGGGCGTGAGGGTCTTTCAATGGAATATGGCATGCTGGACATAAGTGTACCACTGCTGTAATGCTTGAATGATAACAAGACTCCATTGCTCATCGGTTGCTTCATCGGTTGGTAGCAACAAATACAGTGGTTTGTATAGATAAATATATATATATATATATACATAGGTTCTCTATAGGGGAGTCGGGGGCTATGAAAACATTTCTGTCCCCATGAAAGAAAATAATCGAGGACCACTGGACTCACCCAAGGACCAATCCACTGGGTCACCATTGATCACAGCGTTAACACTAGAACAGCCAAGGCGGCCATTTTGTCATTTTGAAAAGTTATATAAGCAATAACTTATATGAAATTTAAAAAAATACAACCCAGTCCCTACCTGACGTTTCAAAAACGACAAAAGACAAAGAAGATATAATCATTTCTAACTATTTCGGCCAAAAGCAGTCATAATGATCGCACTGATTTACGCGCTGATGTTGCAATTTTTCTGCGACTTACGTTGCAATTGTTCTAGCTACAACCATCACCTTCACTTATTTCCGCGGCGTATATGACCTCACCTCAGGGCGCAAGGAGGTGGTCAGTTGTCATGAAGCGCTCGCACAAACAAAATCCCGGATTAGTAATGTAGTAACGCAGCATATCTGAAAAAAAGTAACAGCGATCGAATTACTGTTTTTGCAATTGTAATCCCCTACTTTACTCGATACTCAAAACTAATCTAATTTATAGTAACGTTTTACTTTCAACCCGTTACTCCCCATCAGTGCTTGCATTGTGTACTACTACCCACTACTTGAAAAGCAAAACCTTTTTTTAAAAACAATTACGTACACTATAATTCACTTTGCTTTCTTTGGCCTCCTCCGCCGTCCAAGTGAAGCGGTATTTCGGTTGACACATACTATTTTGTCCGCGTGGGTACACTATAATTCACTTTGCTTTCTTTCGCCTCCTCCGCCGTATTTCGGTTGACACATACTATTTTGTCCGCGTGGATTCCTCTTTAAAAGTGAGACAAAAAATATATTAAGATGGACTCCCTCGCTACCAATGAGAGAGCTGCATAGGTTTGTTATCTTTAAGAGATACGACACAACCTTTAATTAGCACAGATCCCCGCAGCTCAGGACTAGGACGTAATCAGCGGACCTTTAGCGAGTGCGAGACCCTCCCCTCTGTGAATACTTTGTCTTCCCGGGGCCAGTCCATCCAGATCCTCTTTTCTGCTTCCCCTCTTCCGCAGCGGGTTAGCTGGCACTCTAGAGATGCCAGATAATGAGGAATACTGTCAAAGGGGCACTTCAATGGTGCCCCCTCCAAAGGCCTGCGTCTTGCACAAGCCAAAAAAAAAAAGGGGGGTTCTCTGTGTTCTGTAAGCCTGCCATCCCCTGAGGGTCCCGTCTCAAAGCCCCCTGTCTTCTCATTTTGATTCTGCAACCCAAGTAATCACATGAGCCCTTCGGATGGACTAATTATGCGTGGACTCTGCGGGTAATGGAGAGAATAACAGAGGAGAAGTCTTACTTTCTTACTTTTAAGTCCTGGCCCTGACATGTTGGTGTGATACAGATGCTGGTACTTCCCCAGACGGGGAAGCTGAATCCATTACGGAGAAAAAAAAGAATATACTTATCATTTCCCTCTGTTTTCTTTTTTTTTTCTGCCTGACACTTTTTCTTTTTTGGTTACATTGGTGCTCTACCATATTAAAGGAAAAAAAAGATATTTTGTTCTTGTGTTGTCCTACATTATTAGGCCAACAAATATTTCGACAATTTTATAAACATGTTTTGCCTTCGTTTCTAAAGATATAAAAATATGGGTTTTATTTGTTCCCTATCGTTTAATTCAGTTTT